GCCCCCCCCCCCCCAAAACTCCCTGCAGCCCAACTGCCAGCCAAGCCCGGCCCGCCTCCCCCCGTCCCGGCGCCCCCTGCTCCCGGGGAGCCCAGACTCCGCGGTGCCCTCCTCGCAGCCTGGCCCCGCCGCTGCCTGCTCTAGCCGGCCAGCCCGGGCCCCCCCGGCGCGGGGAAGCGCAGCCCCCGCCTGAGGGCGGCAGCCATGGGACCCTCCTCCCCTTCCCCGGCGGAGACGCGCTCGGCTCGGCCGCCGCTAGCGCTGCCCGGCCGCCCGCTGGCCCGGCCCGGCCCTGCCCGTGGTGCTGGTGCAGCCGCCGCGGCGCGTCCCCCGGCTCAGCTCGCCATGGCGCGGGGGGAGGGGCGCGGGGAGGAGGCGCGCGGCCCCTGCCCAGCCCGCCACACGCACAGCGCGCCCCGGCCCGGGCCGCAGCCTTTGGCCCCGCTCGCTTGCCGTCCCCCAGTCCCCATTGGCTCGCGGTCGGGCTGCGCTCTGCGCGCGGCTGCCGGAGAGGGGAGCGCGGCGGGCGGGGGGGCACGGCGGAGGGGCGACAGGGAAGGGGCAGAGGGGGCGATGGGGGTAGAGGGGGTGACAGGGAAGGGAAGGGGAGACCAAGAAGATGGGGGGAGGGGGCGATAGGGGAAGAGCAGAGGGGGCGATGGGGGAAGGGCCTGTGGGGTAGGGGACAGAGGGGGTGACAGGGAGGGGAAGGGGAGACCAAGAAGAGGGGGATGGGGGAGGGGGCTATAGGTGAAGGACAGAGGGGGCGATGGGGGAGGGGCAGAAGGTGGCAGGGAGAGGACGAGGGAGACTGGAAAGGGGGTGATGGGGGAAGGGCCTGTGGGGTAGGGGACAGAGGGGGTGACAGAGAGGGGGAGGGCGGAAAGGGGGCGATGGGGGAAGGGCCTATGGGGGAGGGGGTGACAGGGAGGGGAAGGGGAGACCAAGAAGAGGGTGATGGGAGAGGGGGCGATAGGGGAAGAGCAGAGGGGGCGATGGGGGAGGGGCAGGTGGCGGCAGGGAGGGGATGGGGGAGACTGGAAAGGGGGTGATGGGGGAGGGGCAAGGAGGGAAGGGGTTCTGAAGGGGTGCCAGGAAAAGAGGGAAGGGGGTGAGACAGAACAGGGGATAGAGGAAGGGGGAAGAGCGTAGGGGCAGAAAGGGGAAAGGTCATGCGGCAGAAGGAAAGAGAGGAGGGGGATGGGGAAAGAGTGAATCTGGTCTGGGAATGAGAAAGGAAGAAAGAAAAATTCCAGTCTGGGCATGAGGGGGGAGTTGGAATGAGAGAGAAGGGGTCATAAAAATAGGGTGGGTCTACTGGTCCCAGGCCCCCTGATGGTGTTCTGCCAAGGGAGACTAGCTCATCGGATTGTCTATGTCCTGAGGCAATGCAAGTTTTGTGGATTCTTAGGATCTTACAAATCAGAAAAACCCTTGGATTCAGCATTCCTCCCATGCTTTGTGTTTAGGGACTGCAAATATAACTCCAAACTGGTTCCCTAGAACCTCCAATGCCTTTTGATTTTAATTGGATAAACTAGTCCATAGGTAGCAACAGACATTGATTATTTATCACACTCTGTAGATTTGCAAAGGCCCAAACAGATCAACAGTAAAACAATGCACTAGCACTCACAAGGCTAGAGCTGAACTGGAGTTTTCCTTAATATAGTACACTGGGATACTACCACTGGTTCAGCTCCACTGGCTTTAGCACCAGTGGGGATGCCTAGTGCAGTGGTTCCTAAACATTTTACTAAGGTGACCCATCAACTACACTTTGTCTTTTTTTGCAACCCACCATTACATGCATGCACCTCCATGCAGGTGCTGCAACCGTAATCCCATCTCAATTCAGAGGAGAAGCCCCAGTGCAGGTAGGGTTTCAGAGCAAGCTTGCTCCACACACCTCCTGCAGTGGCAGCTTCTATCCCTTGGGGCTGGGCCCAGCTTCCTATTGCAGGCATTGGGTTGCAGCGCCACTCAGGTTTGGCCCAAACGTGGGAGAAGTATATGTTAACCTAGGTTAGGGTCCAGTGATGGGTAAATCTGCCCCTGGATGTGGCAACCCCTCTAGAAACTTCCTGCAACCCACTGGTGGGTCAGGACTTACTGTTTGGGGAAAAAATGACCTAGTGTAGACAAGCTTCCTTAATTTTTTCCACCATACTGTTTACCCTGCTGGACCCCTTGGGCCCATTTCTTTATTGAATCTACAATGGGTGCTATCACTGATACAGATGAACCCATATAAATTGTTTGGTAAAATTCCCTAGTATAGACGTAGCCTTAGCCAGGCTTTTCTGTGCCTGCACCACTTTCCTACACTGACTCCATTTAACTCAAAAAAGTTTTTTAGCCTGGATGAGATTGCTGTGGCCCCAAGATTCCCTGTAGTTGTAAAGACATGGCATGGCATTAATACAGCATTTCCTTTTGCTGCAACATACTGTATCTGGTGCAGCCCATTGATCCTGACCTTATCGCTGGGTGGTTTCTGACATTTCCAGTACAATTTTGCATCTTTAAATGCCAGGCTTTCCCATGACTAGTTTTTTAAATGTATGTTATGGTGCCAGCCACAATTTGCTAGGTGCTTTCCAAACACATAGTAAGATTAGTGCCTGCACCAAAGAGTTCACAATCCAAAGACACAAGAACCATGTGAAAGGGAAGCCAATCAGGAGCAGGAATAAAACATAAAAAATTATTGTATTTATTCATTTACTAATTTAAAAAAATTACCCCCAACTAGCCCTTTTCCTAGTCCTTATTAAGATAAAAAATTGTTAATCTGAGGGGACACTAGTAAATATTTCCTCCTAAACACCATAGAAGAAAAAATGTGCATAACTTAAGGAGAGAGGGGAAAGAAAATCTGACATATGACAGCCTATTATCAAAAGAACTGGGCTGTTATAAAAAGGATACAAATACCAAACAATAGTGTGAAGGCATGTCTTAGACAAAGTACATGATGTGCTTTAACAGTACTTGTATTCTTTGTCACTATAACATTACTGGGAGTCAATAGATAGGTTAGTTGCTGATTATCTGAATGTATAGGAGTTAGATGTTTAAGAACTGTGTATTGTTAGTTGTGGTACAATTCTTTTTAGAAGCTGGGTATATCACCAGTCAAGTCTCTCACTACGTGAGTAAGAATACTAGTCTTCTGCTTGAGATGAAAGTGGAGATACTGGTGCCACAATTCAGGGCAACTGCACCTGTATCCCACTTCTCGAGTCCACCAAGGGCACCCACACTCAGACTTCTGGCTCCCCAGCAATCATTTCTCTTGAGCAGAGGCACACATCTCTCTCCCTCCTGGCCAGGTTTTTTTCCAGACTGCACAGTTCCTTGCCTACACTGCGAATTCCTTAGGAAGTCGGACAGCCTAAGCAGTCCTGCTTCACCTTCTCAGAGGCTATAAACAGAATACACCGGACCCTCGCTAGAATGCGCATCTATATAGCACGGATTTGCATATAACACGGTCGCAGCCATGGATCCCAAATTTAATTACTTTAATTGCAATTCATTTTAACGCGGTCCCCGCGTTAACGCAGTACCGCGCATGGATCCCAAATCCCGTGTTCTAGTGAGGGTCCACACAGCCATTTATAAGCAAGAACATTTACTTGTAAGGTGAAAGCATTACAGAGAAACCATATTAAAACAATAAAAGAATGTACACAATGCTAATAAGCTTCCCAGAGATCACATCCTCTTCACCTCCATCCCGCCCCCAATCTTCACAAGGGCTCTGGGGGGGCTCACTCTTTCCAACCCTTCCCTAAGGACTGGGTTCCTCCCTTTGGATAAAAGGTCCTATCCATTTGCTGCGTCAGAAAGAAGGCTGCTTATCCAAAAGTCCTTTTCTTGTCTGTTGGTTCTCTAGTCTTCTAGAGAATCCTGTCTGAATCAGTGTATGTGAGCCTTTCCAGAGGGTGGTTTCTCTCTGGAGGTGTTACTGAATGAATCTGCCTAAACACCCCCCACTGTTTTTAGTTCCTGGAGGGCTGAGGTCCTCCTCCCCCATGGAATTACATGCAATCCCTGGCCCACAATGATATATAAAGTTAAACTTAATTCAATAAGGTTTGACCAGGTTATTGCAGAAAACTACCCTATCTGTCACAACTGGCTGTAGGTAATACACTAGTAAACAAAATACTACGGGATACCAGGATGTTACAGTCATGACAAGAGATTTTGAAGCAAACTTGAATTCACGGGTAGGTGGGAATCCAATGTGGAAACATAAGGAAAGAGAGAAGAAATTATTCTCTCTTGGGCTACCCCTACACATGGAAGCAATGCAATTAATTTATTGCAACTGGGTTTACAAGTCCAGGGGCAAAAGACGGGAGAAAGAGAGAGAAGAAAGAAAAAAGCATTACAGGAATGAGAGGAAGGAGAGAACTCCAGGCTGGTATCAAAAGAAAGGGAAAGTAGTTGAGGGAACGTGAGAAGCATCCGGAGAGGAAAGCTAGCCAGGGGGCAGGAAAAAAATATGTGAGATCATGCCTCCTACATTAGCGTGCAGGCCAGTGAAAGACAAGGGGTTACAAGTCTGGTACAGGAACCAGAGAAAGGAGGGTTTATTTAGGGCCTGATCCAGCACCCACTGAAGTCAGTAGGAATCCCTCCATTGACTTCAATG